AAACGAACGCCAAAATTAAACGTATGTGCGGCTCAACTCGATTTCAACGAATATCATTCTATATTTAGACACATTTCTTAGAGCCTAGCTTAACGAAGGTTGGCGAAGACGGGGCGACTACGCCGAGAGCGAGAGAGAACCTTATTGTGCTCCCGCCTTCGCCCTAAACTAACTTACTTCAAATTTTAGCAACTTCATATAAACTTCATGACATGAGCCAACACCGGCCCCGTTGAACAACCATCGAGCTTGAACACACTGGAAGCGGCGGCAACTTGTGAATGGCCCGCCGAAAAATGCCTCCTCCGCTAGTCCTGACGTCGACGATCCTGACCATGCTTGGCAGCTATTCTCCCGAGGAGCCATTGTTGGGGCGGCAGGTTGTTCTCGGCCACGATGACGAGGTCTCCCTTGTGGATGTTCGGCTGCTGCTGGTGCCACTTGCCCCGAATTTGCAGGCCCAGTACATATTCCCAGGACCATCGCCGCCAGAACGTTTGGCTTTTCGCCCTGTTGTCGCAATGGACGACTTGGAATCATCCTCGCCGCCCAACGAACCGTTGAAAAGCCGAAAAAAAGGAATCTGTGTTTAAATCTGAAACAATTTCTAGATGAACCGCTTTGGGTGCAAAACAAACGAAGAGCGCAATGTAGGACTTATACGGAGGCCTACCACGAATTTTCAATGTCGTATAGACAAGGCCACAAAAATCAACGCCACATATAGCAAATTGGCGGAGAGCACGGAGACGATCTGCGGGAAAATTTACCATAATTTGTGTCATCAATCGAGTCTTGCACTTAAAGCAGCGTAAGTATGATCGAACTATCTGACTGCAGACCTTCTGAGTGTTTACGCTCGAAGGAGACTCGCAAGTGCTCGTGGACCAAGCTGAATGAGTTGATAATTTCGGTGAGCGGCACATAGCTCAAGCTTTGGTCTTGAGCTGCACTACATTAGACTTTGAAGTCAACCACGATATTTTATAAGTTTTGCTACGAATGTATGCGCAAGCTCCATAAGCTCTTAAGGATGCGTCGGCAAAGGTATGTAATTGGACCGGAGACATTGGATCGGTATGCAGAAACCGGGGAATAGATATTTATTCTAAATTAGACAGTGTCATTTTTATCATATTCCATGCTGTTTCCAAATGCCTATGAATCGAATCATCCCAATTTAAATTATTTAACCAAAGTTCCTGCAATAGGATCTTTCCCCTAATTAAAATAACTTAATGAGCCGAGGGGTCAAACAGCTTCGATGTCACCGATGGTATGTTCCGTCTTGTCTCTCGGAGACCAATGACAGCAGTGTCCTAGTTGACTCTGATTATGAGATGGGTATGGATTTAACGGTGCTCTCAGATGCGGTGACGTCAGGTGAGTTTGAAAACCACTTTGTCAATTCAAAACCCGAGTTTGAAGAACCTGAGATACTTTAGACCTAATGGTCTTTAACTCCTCTACGCATGCAGCACCAGTCAACATATCATCGACATAAAAGTCGGATCCCATAACCTTAGCAGCTCTAGGAAATGAAAGTTTGGCAACTTAACCTTTTTAAACACCAAATAGCGAAAAACTGGGCTGGTCCAGTACCATATGTTACGGTGTTGAGCTTGTATAATCTCAAGGACTCAGAGGGGTCCTTATATAGTTCTCCACACTATAAGTTGAAATTGCCTATCTGCTTTATTCACAATCACTTGGCGATACATTTTCTTTACATCGGCGGTCAGGGCGAACCTATGCAGCCGGAAGCGCAGTAACGTTGAGTACAACTCATCTTGGATTGTCGACCCAACCATCAAAATGTCATTAAGAGACTTCAATTCTGAATTGACGAATTACAAGACGCATCGAAAACGATACGTAATTTGGTTGACTACGTTGGGGTCTCAGAACATATTGATGTGGCATAACATAATATGGAGCAGAAGGAATTTTAACTGTAGGAGCCTATGACCTAAGAAAAGGTATTCTCTCATGAATTGTAAGTACATTTTCTGTATCTCAGGGTCTCAATACAACCTTTTTTCAAGCGAAAAAAAACGCCGTTTTGCAATTTCGAAAGAGTAGCCAAATCCATTTGGATCAGATTTAAACGTCTTACTTCAAACCGACCTGATGGCAAAACCTTAGTAGTCTTCCGATAGTGTTCTTCACATAACTTTTGCTCAGGTGACAGAATTTTCTTTAGAGATGGCATTTCTTCCGGTGACCAAAACTTCTGTAGTGTGCTGTCAATAGATACTAAAACCTCTTCACTACAACTGAAACTTTTCACAACTTCTATAGGGGAAGATGACATATATCTGTACCTTTTTCTTAACTTGAGAAGTAAGTTGATATACGACTACTCTTTACGGATCTGTTAGCGGTGAGCAAGGTCCTCTGTTATAAAATTAGGTTGGGACTCATAGTCAAGCAGTGCTCTGGCCAAATATATTCACCGTTCACTGTCCAATGATGTCGCATAATAAGAGGGAGAAAGAATCTCATGGGTTGGCGGCAAAGTTAAACTATTTTCGGACACTGTATATCTATGCAGTAAGATATGATGCGAGCGGCCACAAATTCGACATTTATTAAATTTTCATTTATAAACAGGGTGACCCTTTCGCATACAATTGATGCAAAAGGAAGCAGATTTTACAAAGTCTGACCTTTGCATTACCGAAAGACCTAACGGACCACAGTTCGCTAGGATATGGTCTCCTGCATTGCAATAGCTACAACTTTACTGGGATTTACTGTTGGACGAAGAACAAGAAAATGAGCTACGATTATGTGGCTTGCTCGACATAACTTTATCTTGCTTTGGCTTCGTCGATTCTTCTTCTTTGCGGATAAATACTGGTATCGGCGGTTTAACATTTTTTCAAGATAGGACCAAAGCGGTAACCTTTCATAATCTAATTGTTCTTACCATTTTTGTTTGGTCACTGAGTCTACTCTGTTCAAAACAAGATAGATCAACATTGCATTCGAAATATTGGTGTCGTCTCCTAACGATAACAAAAAACCGTATATAGATTATACGGTGTCGATAATATTTCTTAAAGACGACGCTACCTGTTGCGTTGTGTTCGGAAGACTAAAGAATGTTGAAATATTATATATCAATACACGTTTTTCAGGCTGACCATAGCTTTTTCATAATTGCTCTCGGTAACTTTGTAGGCCTTAATAGTTCCCAAAGCTTCACCAGAAAGACAAGAAATGAAGTGATTCAATTTTTCAATATTAGGAATGCTGTCGTCTTGATGAACAAGAGTTTCGAAAAGGCTAATGAAATTCTTAAACTCCGAATATTTGCCGCTGAATTTCGGCAATGCCGAATTATTTTGAATTCGCTTGCCGTCTGCAAGGCTGAGATAAGCAACATTATTTTTGCTTTGGTTATTATTGAAAGCTCTTCCAACACTTCTCGGAACTCTTCGCCATCATCTAAATCTTCTATATGTTCTTATAATTGATTTGCCTTAATAATTACAGCATTTAAAATTTCTTGCCGACATTTAATTCTACTTCTTGAATCGGACGGAATCGGCGGATGCTCATCACTGGTTTTTTGAGCTTGGTATCTCTGGTTATCTCTACTCATTTTTAATTAATTTATATATATAAGCCACAAAATAAATATATAGTATATATATATGTAAGACTCTTTAGGAGAAATAGAGAATAATAACAGCAGAACAGCTGATCAGCAGAATAACAGCAGGAACAGCAGTAGTAGCAGTAACAGCAGGAACAGTAGTAGTAACAGTAACAGCAGTAACAACAGAACAGCGGAAGAACAGCAGATTAACAGGAAGAAGTGTCTTCAATCGACGAGAATACAAAAACACTGAAGGAGCTTGTCGAGCTTCTGGCGATGAAGATGGGAACAGAAGAGCAAAGCAGTGGTTGCTCAATAACGGCGGAAAGTTTCGCGAAAAGAATTCCGGAGTTTAACGGAGAATCCATGCCGGTCAAGAATTGGTTCGACAATTTCGAGCTAAATGCTGCAGCTTATGGTCTGAACATAAAGCAGATGTAAGTACAGGCACGTGCCAAAGTGACGAACACAGCAAAATTGTTTTTGGACTCTACTTACGTACATCAATAAACAGAGATGCGTTTGTTGCTACAGACAGAGTTAAGTCGTCAATATGTGTGCAGCGCGGATGTTCATGAGCAGCTCCGTGATCGCCAGAAACGCAAGCAGGAATCGTTTCACCAGTACCTTCTGCAGATGAGGAAGATTGCAGCTCTTGGCAGCATAGATGCACGTTCTGTAATCCGCTACATCGTGGAGTGACTTCCAATACACTCTTTACAGTTGCAAGTCCTTTAAAGAGCTGCAGGAGCAGTATGAGGTGTTTGAACGCGTCGGCGAAAAGGGAAATAAGCCGTTTCAGCCGAACGATGGAAAATGGGCGCCGAATCAGAAGAAACAGCACGAGTTCAACGACAAAAAGTGTCATTCTTTCAATTGTGGATCTGCTGATAACCTCCGCAAAGACTGCAAAGCTGCCACGAAATGCTTTAGGTGCAATAAAGAGGGCCACATGTCTAGAGATTGCCCTGGGTTAGCTGCTGGTGTCTAAGTTGTTTGCAGTGCAAGTCGCATGAAGAAAGTTACTATCAACGATGTCGAAGTGGAGTGCTTAGTGGATACTGGAGACGATGTATCTATGTAAAGAGTTAAGGCAGAAGATGACAGCTAGTATACAACTCCCTCGTTGTGAATGGTATTCAGCGATCTAGAGAACAGCTGAATGAGAAACCGGAAAAGGAATTACGACGGAAATTCATTCGCAGAAGGAAGTCGTAAGAAGCGGTCGCATTTAAAAGTCGTCCAAGTTGCCTAAAGTTGTCTTCAGTTGCTTAAGTTGAAATTATAAGTTAAGAACGTTGCTGTAAACATTGATCATTTATTTAATATCTCAGCGTTTATTTAATTTAAATATACCACTTATAATACCAACTTTACATTTGGGGGCTCGCACCGGGTCTGAGATAACCAAATAAGTGATAGAAATTAAAAGAGTTACGCAGAATAAGAAAAACACTAAGTAGCCAAGTTGTGAAATTCAAAGACAAGTCTCACCATTCAATCATAAATGACGCGTCGAACGCCAGCAAAAAAGAAGCAAGAAATTTAAGATCTAAAAGAGGTGGAAGAGGATCAGAACGAGACAATGGGTTAGGAAAACAGTCGAATGGATGTTGCTGAGATGAAAAAGCAAATGGATGGTATACTTAAGTTGCTCTCTTTAAAAATTTAAATTGACGAGAACACAAGTAGTTACGTTAAACCACAACATGATAATTTCGAAAGTTCAGCAGTGGTTCGACATTTTCGAACAAAATTCAGACGCATACGAGCTCACATTTAAACAGATGTATGTGCATGCAAGAGGAAAGATGGCTGGCACTGCTAAATGGTTTTTACAGTCTGTGTGTGTGAATGACTACAACGAGCTGAAACGCGGTCTTATTGATGAGTTCGCTAGCAGCGCCAACAGCGCGGACGTGCATCGCCAGCTACAAAACAGGAAGAAACAAAAGAGCGAAACATTTCACGAATACATATTACAATTACGGCAGATTGCAGCAGCAGGTAAAGTGGAGGAATCAGCGATTCTGCGGTACGTTGTAAACGGACTAGTTGATATGAAGAACGAGTATAAGGCTATTCTTTACTCGTGCAAAACTTTAAAATCACTCAGAGAGCAGTATGGAATCATAGAGCAACTGGACGACAAGCCTCGTCGTTCCTGGAATCAACAAAAGAAGACCAGCGGAAGAAAGAATTTTGTTTCAAGTGTGGTTCAGCAGAGCATAAAATCAAAGATTGCCAGTCTCCGACAAAATGCTTTAGGTGCAATGAAAATGGTCATATGTCCCGAGATTGCCCTTTAGTTACAGAAAGTGTTCGCAAGGTCGTTGATCAAAGCCGCAGCAAGGTGATCTCTATAAATGGTGTGGACATTGAATGCCTAATCGATGCAGGATCGGACGTATCACTGGGCCTAAGAGCTGAACCGAAAGAACCAAGTAGCCTTGGCTTAGATGTGTATAACATTGTAGAAGCATCTAACTTGTTTACTGTTACTCCCCCGTACGTAGAATCAGTGACCAAACTCATCGAAGAAGTCCAGCCGATACCACCAGTAACATTGAAGCAATGCCCAGTCGAACTGAGGATCACTCCGGATGGGGTAATAAAACCATTTCATCAGTCTCCATCTCGTCTGTCAGTAAACGAAGCAGAGGCAGTAAAGAAGCAAGCTGATGAATGGTTAGCCCAAGGAATAATACGTAAGTCAGCATTAAACGTAGCCAGCAGAGTCGTCGTAGTCAAAAATAAAGACGGTACGCTTCGAATTTGTATTAACTATAGAAAACTAAATAGTATGGTATTGGCTGATCGTTTTCCAGTGCCCTTGATGGAAGAGGTACTGGAAAAATTACAAGAGGCTTGCATTTTTTCAACGCTCGATCTGGACAACGGTTTTTTCCACGTTGCAGTAGGAGAGGCAAGCAAATCGTTAACTGCCTTTGTAACAAAATAAGGATTGTTCGAGTTTAATAGATCTGCTTTTGGTTTCAAAAATTCTCCGGCTGCATTTATCAGATATCTGAATCAAATATTCCAAGACTTGATCAATGACGACGTCATGCAATTATATATGGATGATATAATTATATATGCACCCACTGCTGACGAGTGTATGAGCAAAACAATGGAAAAAATGTAGCTTTATGCAATCCTGCATACACTTTTTGGGACATACCGTGGAAAATGGACGTATATGGCCAGGCGAAGAAAAAAAATCAGCCGTAAACAGATTTAAAACTCCAAGAAACATTAGAGCGGTACAGTCAATCCTTGGACTAACAGGTTTTTTAGAAAATTTATTCCAGGTTATGCAAATATTGCTCGACCGTTGACCAATCTAAGAAAGGACGTCGAATTCAAAATAGGAAGTCCAGAGCTGCAGTCACTTCAGGAGCTTAAGAAGATTCTAACCAACGAACCGGTGCTAAACATATACTGCAGAACAGCACATAGTGAGCTACACACGGATGCCTGTAAGGATGGTTTTGGGGCAGTCTTACTTCAGATATTTGAAGGACAACTGAACCCTGTATACTTCTGGAGTAAGAAGACGACAGCTTCAGAGGCCGAGCGACACAGCTATATCCTCAAGGCAAAGGCGATTTATTTAGCGCTTAGGAAGTTTCGACATTACCTCATGGGCATCCACTTCAAACTCGTCACGGATTGCTCAGCGTTTAAGGACTCTACAAGAAAAGACGATATTCCTCGCGAAGTTGCAGCACACGTGATGTATCTTCAGGATTTTAGCTGCGATGTTGTTCACAAGCAAGGAGAAAAGATGAAGCACGTGGATCTGGAGTAAGAAGACGACAGCTTCAGAGGCCGAGCGACACAGCTATATCCTCAAGGCAAAGGCGATTTATTTAGCGCTCAGGAAGTTTCGACATTACCTCATGGGCATCCACTTCAAACTCGTCACGGATTGCTCAGCGTTTAAGGACTCTACAAGAAAAGACGATATTCCTCGCGAAGTTGCAGCATACGTGATGTATCTTCAGGATTTTAGCTGCGATGTTGTTCACAAGCAAGGAGAAAAGATGAAGCACGTGGATCACTTGAGCCGGCATCCACAGTTAGTCAGGATCGTCACAGCAGAAGTAGCAGCCCGTATTAAGAGCATACAACAGAACGATGAGTACATCAAGGCGATTCTCGAAATCCTCCAAGAACGTCCATACCAAAACTTCAAGATCAAGGGAGATGTCCTCTACCGTATAGTCGATGGAAATGACCTTCTAGTTGTCCCGAAATCCATGGAGAAAGAAATAATTCGAGATAAGTCGGCCGCTTTGCAGTACAGAAGACGGTTCATTCCGTACAACAACAGTTTTGGATCCCTCATTGGAGCGGAAGGTAACGAATTTTATTGCCAAATGGATTAAATGCATTATTTTCAGTAAGAAGTTGGGAAAGCAAAAAGGTCTCCTCCACTGCATAGCCAAAGGAGATGTTGCACTGCATACGCTACATGTGGATCACTTGGGGCCGATGGACTTCACTTCGAAGCAGTACAAATATATTCTGGCAATTGTAGATGGCTTCGCAAAATTTGTTTGGCTTTACCCCACGAAAACGACCGGATGCGAAGAAGTCATCAGGAGATTTAACGAATGGTCGAATGTTTTTGGGTTTCCGAAACGAGTTGTCAGCGATCGAGGAGCAGCCTTTACATCTGGTGTGTTGAAGTTGCTCGTGGAAACGGCCAAGTCGAGCGGATTAACCGATCGATTCTCGCTGTCATCGCCAAAATGTCTACTGAAGAACCAAGCAAGTAGTTTAAGTATGTGCCTCAGGTGCAAAAGGCCATAAACTCACAAGTGCATTGCTCAACAAAGCTTTCACCCTTTGAGCTTTTATTTGGAACAAAGACGTACAGCCAGGCAGAGGAGCGTTTGCATGAGATTTTAAACGAGGAGTTTGTTTCCCAATACAACCTTGAGCGAAACTTAATGCGACAAGAAGCGAAGAAAAACATTGAAGCGGCTCGACAAGTATACAAGCGAAACTACAACAGGCGGTGGAAGCAAGCTCACATCTATAGGTTGGGTGATCTCGTCGCAATCAAGAGGACTCAATTCGTTGCAGATAGAAAGCTAGCAAGTCCATACTGAGGACCATACGAAGTCGTTCAAGTTAAGCAAAACGGGCGTCCGCAAGGCAGCTCAAATAGAAGGACCCAATTCCACAAGCACCAGCTGCGACAACATGAAGCTATGGCGGTTCATATAAGATAACGACGACGAATTTGTTTCATCTGGGTCAGATGAAGATGAGCAGGAGGACCGAGTGTAAAGAGTTAAGGCAGAAGAGGACAGCTAGTATACAACTCCCTCGTTGTGAATGGTATTCAGCGATCTAGAGAACAGCTGAATGAGAAACCGGAGAAGGAATTACGACGGAGATTCGCAGAAGGAAGTCGTAAGATGCGGTCGCATTTAAAAGTCGTCAAAGTTGCCTAAAGTTGTCTTCAGTTGCTTAAGTTGAAATTAGAAGTTAAGAACGTTGCTGTAAACATTGATCATTTATTTAATATTTCAGCGTACTGTTAATTTGAATATACCACTTATAATACCAACTTTACATCTATATTGAGAAAGTTCATCTTTAACAAAATACAAAATATTATTTTGGAGAGATGTGCTGAAGCTCCGTGGACTAGGAAAGAAGACCACGTGCCCAGTTGGATGCTTTTTGGCTGAGGTAGCAGTAGATGAGAAGATGACGCCACACAAGTTCGTTGTCGTAGAGGTCGAAGACATCGAGTATGACGCGCTGCTTGGATTTGATTTCGTTTCGAAGTTCAATTTTTCATTTTTGACAGAAGGATACAAGTTTTCTTCCCCGATGGCGGAGAAAGCTTGTGAGGAACCAGACCAGATGAGTATTTATAATATTATTAATACAAATGATGAAATCGATGCTCCCCCCCAGTATGCAAAGGAGGTATCGATGCTAATTAGGAACTACAAGGCGGATTCAGTAGCAGAGGTTCCAGTCAAGCTACGAATTGTTCCGGATGGCGAGATCGTTCCATTTCGTCAGTCACCGAGTCGATTCGCAAATGCCGAAGAGAAGGATGTCGAAAAGCAGATCTTCGAATGGTTAGCTGCTGGAATTATAAACCCATCTACATCAAACTTTGCCAGCCGTCTGGTGTTGGTAAACAAAAGGATGGCACACGCCGTATCTGCGTTGATTTCCGTAAGCTGAACTCGATGGTGTTGAGAGACCGCTTTCCCGTCCCTGTAATCGACGATGTGCTCGAAAAGCTGCAAAAAGCGAGTTATTTGACGGTGATGGACTTGGAGAGAGGTTTCTTCCATATTGCCATTGAGGAGGAAATTCACAGCATTCATTACTAAATCCGGACTGTACGAATTCAATAGAACACCATTTGGTTTACGGAACTCGCCACCGGTGTTTATTCGCTATGTAAACCATGTGTTTCAGGAGCTGATACACAAAAATATCCTCGATTTATACATGGATGATATAATAATTCACGCCGAGACTGCAGAGCAATGCTTGGAAAAGATGGCACTCGTTTTTAAAAGAGCAGGAGCCTGAAGATCAAGTGGCGAAAATGTCACTTCTTGCAAAGGAAGATTTAATTCTTGGGCCACAATATTGAAGACGGAAACCTGTGGCCTGGACAAGAAAAGACTGCTGCGGTTAGCAAGTTTTCGGTGCCGAAGAATGTCAGACCAGTTCAAGCTTTTCTGGGGCTGACTGGGTTTTTTAGAAAATTTGTTCTGAATTACTCGCAGATTGCACGCCCGTTGACTACCCTGCTGCAAAAAGAGGTCCATTTTGAAATGGCTGAGCCTCAGATGAATGCATTCCAGAGTTTGAAGGATGCCTTGACTAAGGAACCCGTTTTGAAATTGTATATCAGAGGGGCCAAAACTGAGTTACATACGGATGCATCAAAAGACGGATTTGCCACGGTATTAATGCAGTTGTTCGATGGCAGACTCCACCTAATCCAGTATTGGAGCAAGAAGACAACAGAAGCTGAGTCTCGCCAGCACAGTTACATCCTGGAAGCAAAAGCCGTGTATCTGGCGGTAAAGAAATTCAGACATTATCTGCTGGGATCGCCGTTTAAGTTGATAACAGATTGCTCAAGCAAACTTTGCAGAAGACAGATGTACCAAGAGCAGTCACGCAGTGGATTGTTTATTTGCAGGATTTCGAGTTTGCAGTGGAACATCGACCTGGACTGTCTCAGTCGCTATCCCGACCGCGTTATGCTTGTGTCGTTGGAGATCACTGCACGCGTCAAAAAAGCTCAAGGAAAAGATGAGATGCTGAAGGCAATTATGGCAATTTTAGCCAGCTGTCCATATGAGGGGTACAAGATGAAAGCGGGACTGGTCTATAAGGAGGTGAACAGCAATGATCTCCTCGTAATCCCGAAAGCGATGGAAAAAGAAGTTATTGTTGACGCCCACAGTGCGGGTTATTATGCGCTGCAAAAAACTGTTCATGCTGTGCAACAATCCTATTGGATTCCTCATTTGGAGCAACAAGTTCAGCAGGTTGTGAACAACTGTGTAAGATGCATCATTTAAACAAGAAGAAAGAAAGATTTTTAAATAATAATAAATAATAATAAAACCTGTAACGAACTGTTTTTTTATGGTTTGCTCGCTACGAAATTCGTGCGGCTAGCTCAGTAGAATTTGTGCGTTCGTCCCACCAAATTTATATTAAACGTGACCGCCCGGTTAACAGTAACAAAACTTCAGAATTCAGTTAAGGAGGCGTTTATTTACGGCTCTGGTTGACAATATTTGAATATATCTTGTGTGGGTAATGCTCCTGCGTCGCCGCTCGGTGATTCCTTGCTG